ATGGGGTTCATGCCCCCTCAGGTGGGGAAAAGCTGAAACGCTCCCAACCCAAAAACCCACGACCCCAACTTCATACTCATTTGTTGCATTTCAGCATGGGGCCTAGTCCCCCATCCACACCCTCTGATTTAATCCCATATTGAGGGCTATCCCTGGGCCCTGATATCCCAAAAAAATTGTTTTCAGTTTTTAATTTTTTGGGGAAAGACAAACCGTAGGGGTTTGCGTGCATGATACGCGTTGGGGAATGGTAGGAAATCAGATTAAATCCAAGCAAAAGGAGAACAAATCCAATTCTTTGGGTTGTGCCCTGATACATTACAACCCCCTATGAAGTTTATTATTTCATGGGGGAAGCTTTTTAACCCTTTCATTTTACCGGAAGGGGGGGGTAGCTCAAATTGCCCAAACCAAAAGCCTCTCATCAGTGGTTTTACTCTTGGTCCAAGGGGGTTGTTTTTGAAGGAAAGATTTTCAGGTGGTCGTGTTGCTAATTTTAAGGGGAAAGCTCTGCCCCCCCCCCAAGATGGATGAGTGCTGTGGCCGAAGTAGAGCGAAGGTTTTTGGTTTAGGTTGCAGATGTTGCAGGGAATACCCCCCGTTCACACATCAAGCAGCGCACGCCTGGCATGCACGCCCCAGTGAAACGTTTTGATCAACTATACCCGCTCAGTGCTCATGGTGGGGTGCCCACTGTGTGTTCTGTGTGTTGTTTTGTGTGTGTGTGTGTGTGTGTGTGTTTGGGGTTATGTGTGTATGTGTGTGCGGTGTGTTTGTGGTGGGGTTGTGTCATCAATTGTGGTTCAGGGGTCGTGTCGCTAGTTGCTACAGATCCACTCCCTGCCCCAAGAGCCTTATCATCCCTCTTCTTAAAGCGTTTTTTTTCCTGCCTTTACTATTTCACTCTCCAATTTGTTCATTTCCTGACAATTAAAAGGCTGAAGAAATACTTCTAAAATCCCTATGATCTCTAGAGTTTTAATTTCCCAGCTGTGTCTCCTTTTTCCCTGTGTCCCATGTCTGAAAAAATTTGGGCTCTGTCCACCTTGTCAATTTTCTCAGTATTTTATACGTCGTTTTTCATGTTCCCCTATCTTTTTCTGTCCCCCAGTGTCGTCAGGTTGAATTTCCTGATCAAGGACTGGGCCGCGGGGTTTTGCCCCCGGCGGCCCAGTCCTTGACACCCTCCAGGTAGACTTTCCTCACAGAACATGCCCTTTAAGTTCCGGACTAGTCTTGTCGCAAACTTTGCACTTTCTCCAATTTCTTGACATGTTTGACCAGGTGTGGGTTCCATACTGATGCTGCATACTCCAATAGGGAAACTGACCGATACATGTACAGTGTCGTGAATACCCCTTACTTAGATATCGAAATGCTGTTCTTAGGTTTGCCAGGAGCCCGTATGCTCCAGCAGTTATTTGGTTGATGTGCGCCTCAGGAGATGTGCTCGGTATGATGCTCACCCAGAGATCCTTTCCCTTGAGTGAAAGTTGCAGCCTTTGACCCCCCTCCATAGCCCGTACTCCGTCTGCGGTCTTTCGTCCTTCCCCAAGCTTCATGACTTAGCACTTTGTGTATTCGCGCGAGCGTAATGTTTTAGGAATTGTGTTTAGAATACTACTAAAACCTGTTTTGGTTTAATAGCTTTTAAGAGGAATTTGTGCAAGCGCATGTATGTGTGTGTGTGTGTGTGTGAGAGAGAGAGAGAGAGAGAGAGAGAGAGAGAGAGAGAGAGAGAGAGAGAGAGAGAGAGAGAGAGAGAGAGAGAGAGAGAGAGAATACGCATTAATCTCCATTTTTTGTACTTACTACTCAGAAGTTACTAAGAGGAATACATACCAACTCACAGTAGGTGAGGAATCATGTGCAGCGAGGTGGAGGAGCGGCAAATAGTATTCCAGCCTACTTGATATGCCTGAAGCTCACCAAATCTTCAGCGCAACACTACACCAGACCTGCAGAAAATCCCTATCTCCACCATCTTTGCTAACCTACAGCAGGTATACAATTCCACGAAGTGCGGGGAAGTGCTACGCTCACTACATGGCAGCCACTCTTTCCCCATTCGTGCCCGAGGACATCATAACGACGGTAGAGATCAAGTGGACTCCCAAGGAGGGAAGGTTCCTTGTGGCCTCAAGGGACATCAGTGCCGGGGAGGTGGTGTTCACGGAGGCGCCATTGGTGGTAGCTCCAAAGCCTGAAGCAGGAAGTACCTGCCTGGCTTGTCTAGCAGTACTGCAGGAGGCCTGGGAGGTGTGTGGCGGGTGTGGTGCTCCACTGTGTTTGCCGCGATGTGACGCTAAACACCACACAGATAAAGAGTGCAACATTCTAGCTTGTTTCGGTCTAAAGCAAGACCCCACGAACAGGGTCTTAATGAAACAGCTAAACGTTCTTCTAGCCCCACTGAGAACCTTGTTACTGGTACAAGAATCGCAGGGTGCAGGTGCAATAGTGGCTGCTCTCCAGAGTAACACGACAAAACGGCGAAAACTGCCCATTGGTCGCTTGGTGGAGGAACAGGTGACATTGCCGCTGCAACGTGAGCTCGGGTTGCAGGTGGAGTCTGAGCTGGTGCAGCACGTGTGTGGCGTCCTTGACACCAACACCTTTATCATCAGACTCAGTAAGGACAGATATGCACGCGCGCTCTTTTCCCTTGGATCACTAATGAACCACTCATGCGTGCCTAACACGCAGCACTGGTGCCAGGACGGCATGTTGACGGTACGTGCAGCGCGAGACATACGTGAAGGCACACCTATCACCATCACCTACGCACCGACGCTCTGGGGTACCTACGCCAGGGCTGCTTACCTGGCTTCCTCCAAGCTCTTTACCTGCACCTGTGAACGCTGCCTCGATCCCGTAGAGCTAGGCTCTCATATAAGTTCCGTATGGTGTCGGGAGTGTCATGGCGGTTTACTGGTGCCTGCGTCTGACCCCCAGGCACCCTGGGTGTGTCAAACTTGCGGCAGTAAAGTGTGTGCGGCGGCCGTAGAAGCCCTGGTGCGGGCTGCCGGAGTTGCGGTGAGCCGCGTGCCGCAAGACGACGTGGCTGCAATCAGCACCACTATGAAGCACCTCGCGAAAGTGCTGGGAAGCTGCCATTATATCACCGTGGAGCTCAAGTATGCCCTGGTGCTAGCTACGATGACACCCACGCTCACAGGTAGGCCGTAGACCAACTCTCACACCCACAGGTAGGCCGTAGACCAACTCTCTCACCCACAGGTAGGCCGTAGACCAACTCTCACACCCACAGGTAGGCCGTAGACCAACTCTCTCACCCACAGGTAGGCCGTAGACCAACTCTCACACTCACAGGTAGGTCGTAGACCAACTCTCACACCCACAGGTAGGCCGTAGACCAAGTCTCTCACCCACAGGTAGGCCGTAGACCAACTCTCACCCACAGGTAGGCCGTAGACCAACTCTCTCACCCACACGTAGGCCGTAGACCAACTCTCTCACCCACAGGTAGGCCGTAGACCAACTCTCACACTCACAGGTAGGCCGTAGACCAACTCTCTCACCCACAGGTAGGCCGTAGACCAACTTTTTTACCCACAGGTAGGCCGTAGACCAACTCTCTCACCCACAGGTAGGCCGTAGACCAACTTTTTCACCCACAGGTAGGCCGTAGACTAACTCTCTCACCCACAGGTAGGCCGTAGACCAGCTTTCACACCCACAGATAGGCCGTAGACTAACTCTCACACCCACAGGTAGGCCGTAGATCAACTTTCTCACCCACAGGTAGGCCGTAGACCAACTCTCTCACCCACAGGTAGGCCGTAGACCAACTCTCTCACATCAGACATCAAATTTCTTTACTTCAATGTCCAGTTACAGCTCAATACCCAGTACGAGGCTACAATATTCTCTAATAAAATGGCAATAATGTGGGGTAAAACAAACACAGTTACAAACACACTACTGTACAGGGTTCATAGTCACAAAAAAATGCATAATTGTAGTTCTGGCAACAAAATAATGACTAACATAGATGGAGCCCTCCAGGAACCCAACCATCCTTTCTGGTGCTTTTCTCCTTTCTCTCTCGCTTTCTCTTTCTCTTACTCTTTTTTCCATACCAAAAACCGAAGTATAGGTTGTGCAAAAAAACGAAACCACGAAGTAGTATAGAGTGTAGAATCCACTGCAATCTTTCTCCTCCATACCCTGTTACAATAGCCAACATTTTTTCACAATTTTATTTTACATTTGAATATTTTATGCATAATATTTTTAATAATTATTATCGAACTCGTTAATTTAATTACATTCACCAGTACAGAATATATTTTTATATATATATATATTATATATATATATATATATATATATATATATTATATATATATATATATATAAATATAGGGAGGTACCACCTCTATGGCTGGAATGGGGACCCTCATCCTCAGAGAAGACAATAAACGTACCTCAGGGAAAACTCAAGGCTCTCCCCGGAGCTGTTTGAATATTTTCTTCTCCCACCACCCCCTATATTTGATATTCTATGTGAACATTTATTAATAAGCAGAATACATTTACAGAAAAACCTAAACATTAATACAATGGCACAATGTATCAAAGATCATGAATTTCCACCAGCTTCCCCGAGGCTGGACGCGAGCCAAGTATGCAGCAAACATTTCCCCTCTGGATGGCTACGCTGAGGCGCTGGAACATGAAAGTGGCCTGCCCTTGGTCCCTGGTGGTGTCGATGAGTCTGGAACCCAATTCTTTAAGGAAACGTGTGGCATTTTTTCCCCATGATCCCAAGGTCTCTGATCCCACTGGGACAAATTGATACTGTTGGCTTATGTCCCTGTACTTGCTGATTTTGTACTCCTCCCTGTGGTCAGCAGCTCCTCCCTGTCGCCCACACTGTGATTTGGGTATAGGTGTCAGCCAGTGTGGAACACAGGTATATCCCCTGCTAAGAGCTTTCTTCTTCCCAAGGTAGATTTCTGTCGGGGCGGGTTTTCGGTTTTTTGGGGTTTTTGTTTCGCTAGTGGGGGGG